CCCGATTCACTGCTTCTCAGTCTCCCTTCAGAAAAGAGCAGTCATTCCAGAGATATCAACCCAACATGACATAGCATGATGCAATACTACTAGGCATAAAGCCTCATATCAACGCTGGACATGGATGAGGCAACCTAATATAAGGGATGGGAGGGGAGACCATGTTGTAATTGAGATGTTTTTTCAAGTGGAGATGTCCAATATACATTTGATAATTGTATCTGAAATTTTCAATCAGTATTAGGGTCGGAAGCATAAATTCAAGTCATATGTTTTACACAGGTCTTTGGCTACTATCTCGATCAACCTAGACTGGACAATTCGTAAAGAACATAAATTTATTTCACAGTCCTGGAGCCTACATTAGGCTCACTGTTAGCTAGTGAGTGTCTTCTTGTTTCATCCTAACAAACGGGACCCCAAAATCACCTGCTTTGAGCCCTCTGCCCCACCCAATGTGCACACAATAAAATTTGCCTTTCTCTACACAGTAGCATGCCTGGTTGCAGGTGCAGGAAGTAAGCAGACAGGAGGCAGGCATTGTCACAGCCATTGCCCCAACTTTCCCAGGGAAGTAGAAAACCAGTCATCAGCGGTATGTGAAGAGATGATAAAATATGGTACAATCACAGCGGCTTGCAGGGTGAGTGAAATAAGATGAAATGTGACCACCTGGAAGCTCCAAAAGTCCCCCGAGAGCTACAGTTGGGATTTTAAAGTCTAATTCATGCCAATGTCCATTTCTCTACAGCTGCTTTTGATTGCTTGGGAGTGGGCACAAATTAGGCCCAGGTGGCTCAACCAGGGCTGTGGTTTCTCCAAGTGATAAGAGGGAATGAGTGGTGAGAGAAACAGGAGCCGTGTAGGCATGGAGGGCAGGCAGTGGGCCACCACTGAAATTAAGCTGAGTGAGGAGAAAACACAAAAGGGCTAAGACAGGGGGAGGGAAACGGATCCATGGAGGGTGGCAGACTGGACTGGGGAGGAAAGACATAGGAGACAGTAAGGGGAAACACTTAGAAATGACATGAATCAATTTTTGTTTAATTCTTTTTTTTCTGTATCCATTCTGCCCTCTAAAGCCTTGAAGATCTCAGCTGGCTTTGCAGTTGTGTTTTCCATTTCGGGGAATTGTTCCTCCTGACTTCCTCTTCAGTCTTCTATCATGTTACATGTTTACAGGGCTTGTCTGCTACAAATATGTTTCTACTTCTAGTTCATAGAATGCTTTTCTCTAAAATGGTCTAGAATAAAACTTTGAGCATCCCTCTCAGGCTGATAGTGTTCAAAAGTACAATACAGTTTTTAATTTTGCAGGTGCTAGCACATGAGATTTTCCTCATTTCTTCTGTGGCTGTCACACATGAAATACCTGTTTCAGTGAGGATTATAAAAGCATCATGTACAATCCTAAAGAATATAGACAATATGGGGTGTTATATGGAAGGAAATAAAATAAAATATTAATGCCAAATAGCCAGTCTTAATGTTATTTTGCAATCTTGTGATTCTTTCTACAGAAAACTCTGTTTTAATACCAGGAATCATAGTATACATTCCCCAGATATTCTTTTCACACTACACACCAAATATTTCCTAACATTACTATTTATTAGCTGAATATAGAACTTTAATGACTATCTAACTTTACATTTCTCTTGCTCCGTCTGTCCTTTCCAAGGACCCCTTAATTGATTGAGGTGAAACTTACAAAGATACTCAAGAGTAGAGAAAAGAGTGTGTGATGATCCTTCAGTCACATGTGACTAACTCCAATATTTATCTTTTTGATGTGCTCTATTCTGTTTGTAACCTTTCCCCATATTGCCAGCAAGTCTTTCTTAGTGGCATTTATGTAATGATCAGATATTGCTGATTCATTGGTGAACTGCACAAATGGAAGGAATCTGGCACAAGCATGAGCAGTCAAAACTATCAAAAGAAACATACCATTCTCTAGGGGCTAAAGACATGGTTTAAATGTACTGAGAAACAACATTTGAAAATAGCAGAGAAATGACTCAAAATGTAAGATATGTTAAGATAACATAGAAAAGCTCTACAACCATATATTAAACAATTAATAATCTTCATATAATTTGGCAATATATAATATGGCCAACATTTTTACTAGTCAGTGAACAAAGATTTGTTATTATAAAGCAGGAAAAAGACAAATAGGCTAACTGTGACTTTTCTGTTATTAGGTATATTCAAAGGCATTTATAATATGATAATTTTCACTCTTTAATGAGTATTTTGTTCACTATATGTCAGTAGCCAATGTCACTGTCTTCAACCCTGTGTATACATTCCCTAGCCTATGTCTGTTCCATGATATTCACAAAGAGGGAAATATGTGAACTGTAGTGTTTCAAAAGTGAATAATTTAGATTAAACAAAGAAATACACTGCCTCATGTCTCCTAGTCACTGGCTACTGAGTTAGGGTCTCTGCATCGCCACAAATCTACACTGTGATAGCAACACTTCTTACAAAGGCTACAGTCCATAACATTTCAGACGATTGGAAGAAGTTTGTAAAATTTCCCATTGGAATTTTCCCCACCTCCAGAAATAGTTAAAATCAACTAAGCTGACCAACAGCTGTCATAGAACAGGTCATTCTTCACTGAAGTGTCTACAATAGAGGACATCTGACTGGGAGAACTCAGTGACTGAAGTTTATAGGAAATGATACTTGGAAGATATCTAGAATGGACACTCATGAAGCAGAAATGCTGTAAAGGCATCAAAACCATCCCTTCTTTTTTATTGGAGCACCATCAGCTGATTGATTTAATAAAACTCAGGACCGACGAAAAACAGAAACACAGCTTCCCATAGCAAGGGTTCATGCTGTGATCATTGAAGTGGGAAGTGATTTGATTTTAATGCCCTGTGTAGCACTTAGCACCATATTTAATTGAAGGAAGAAAATCACTCATTTTTCATCCTTTTCCTTAACGGACTCTTTGTGCAATCTATCTAGTGTTATGGAACTTAATACAAAGGGCATACGACATTTTTCACTTTTAAAATTATAGCAAGCATTAACATTTTCAACCCTTCTGATTTATATCCTTATTCCTTTTCATAAGTAGGTTCCAAATAATCAGCTCAAGCAGTAACAGCATATCTGGGCTAGTAAAAGTGAGCCAATAAAAGAATTTTCTTATTTACAGTTCCTAATTATTTTACAATTGGGAGTGTGACAAAAAGATCAAACTAAATAACATGTCAATTAGTATGTGGCTCTAAGAAAGAGCGATTCTAATGAAATCACAGAAATATATGCATAACTTATAGATACTTTTACTAATACAGTCTTGAAAAATTAATTATTAGCATCATAAATTATTCTCAGTAGGCTAAAGAAAAAAAACTCTGATGACTCAATTTACAGATATATAGTCCCCTAGAAACCTATCTTTAATTTTGAAATAGTCCTTTGAACTGTATATAAATATGTACTCTTTCCTAAGGGCACTGTGCCTGCCACATTAGAGCTGTGCTCTGCAACACATCTGCAAATACAACTCTCTTCTCTCTATTGGCACAGAATATTAAGTATAAAGGACCACAGAAGATAGCGATGTGGAGACAGTGCTTCTATTCCAACCTCAGCCCCTGTTTTCCTTGAGAACATACCTGGAGAGTAAAAATTAAACAGATTCTTTTAAAGCCCATGTAAATACAGCACTTAACACTGGTGTAGGCAGTATCAGATTCTTACTTTATTACTGTATTGGATGATACACTACACATGAGCATCAGGAAGGTTCTTTTTTAACAAGAAGAGAGAACTCCAGAGAAGTATTTGCTGGATCTTTACCTACCACATACCTATATAAACAGCATCAACAAAGGTTTCCACAAACACAAATGCTGAACCTATTATCTAATCCTGAATGTTTGGTAACATTTATGTAAAGGTATGGAAAGCAAATATAAAGAAACGACAGAAGCAAAACATTCTACAGACTACAATTTGAAAACAACAAAAACCATGCCTTGCAATAATGAATTAGGGGATGCTGTAGATTAAGAAATAGTGTATTCCCAGGTGTCCCTCAGGAGACAGAAAGTATTATCCTTAATTACATTCATCTTTCCAGGTGGACCAATGATCTCCTAAAAGAAACAAGAAAATGACATCTTCTATTCATTCGGGTCACTGTCTTATAGATCAATAAGAATAAACTTAAGTGAAGTTTGACACATCAGTTTGCTTTTTTCATCCAACAACATGTACTGTTAATAACCAAGTGTAAAGACAAATAAAGCAGATAATAGTTCCTGTCCTCACTGAGTTTAAATTTTAGTGAGATCATTCAAATAGAAGTTCTAGGCCAACAGCATTTTAATTCAGTTAAGTCAGTGGATGCTCAGTGTTAAGTGTTAAGTGTTATGGATGCTCAGTGTTAAGATGTCATGGAATCTTTTCAACTGAATTTGACCATCACCTTGAAATGATAATTAAATGAAATACAGCTGGAGATGCAAATGTGTGTCTACATGCATAAAAATGTTTCCTGCTCATGTTATTTTGTTCAGATGCACATTTGTTACATAATTTGTTTTAATATGCCTAGATCATTCAGAGGTTTGTCTCACCTACATGCACAATAAACACCTGGCTCCACCCCCCTACTGTCTTCCTCGTACCTCTTTCGAGTAGCCAATCTCTATTGAGCCTCTGCATGTCATCCCCACACCTCTGATAATAGAAGGACATTTTTGAAACAGTTCTCTGTCTAAGATAGCTCATGTGCTAACTGGAAAAAGCAAATATCTGTAGCATGTACACACAGCTGTTAGGTAACAGTGGGCGTGGACATCTGGTAGTCAGGGCTATGAGTAGGTACAGCAAAGAAGAGTGAGAAAGTAAATGATGGGGACATTTAGCTATTTGCAAGATGACTCCACTTGCATCACAGAAAGTGATGACTCAATGCTTAATCAGCAGAGAAAAGTACCTTTTATTCCCATGGAGCCATTTTATTTCTCTTGGAGAGTAGCAAAGATTTCTCTCTGCACAGTATCCATTTCCCTTATTTGTTCTTCAATAGCTGTGATCACTTTGATGGGGACAAACTTCAAGGCACTGATGTCACCAAATACCTGTAGAGTGTTGATAATATGAACAAATGTTTCAACGAAATGGTCATACGGTACTATCTTTTATTCTGTTATCCCCTAGAGGAAGGGAAAGTGTAGCTTAGAAAGCCCTGTTTGGATACTGTTGTCCTAACCAGGAGCTTATAATTTAGGTCTCATAGTCTAGTCCATTTTGAATTTTAACAATTTTATAATGCACATACAAAGAATACAGAGTAAACATGAAAAAAATAAAATACATATAGAGAGTGAATTTTCTAATCTTCTAACACCAAAACTATATACATAAAAAACAAGTCTTGTGGTCTAGAGAGTTAGCTCAATGGTTAAGACACTGTCTCAAAGAGGACCCAGGTTCAGTTCCCAACACCACATAATGGCATGTTAACTTACAATTGTGTCTACAGTTCCAAGAGATCTGATGCCCTCTCCTGGCATCCATGGGTACTGTGTGAACATGGTACACACACACACACACACACACACACACACACACACACACACACACACTCACACATAAAGCCAAGATTAAGCTCCCATCTTTGGGCTTTAAAGCCTTTTCTAAGGATGGGTCTTATGGCTTGTAGCACAACACTCAGAACCAGGATAATGAGAATTAGAGGATAACATGCACCAGAAAGCCTTTGCTTGGTGACATGTAGAAAAGACAAAATCTAGTTGGGGAACCAATATTAACTAGAAGTTAATATTCCCATTGGAAGGAAGTTTTGTGCATGGAGAAACTTCAATAGACAAAGACTGACAGACCCTGCAGAAGTACTTCCATTTATGCAATTTGGATTTATTTCTGAACTATCATAATTACCAATGTCACGGGCTTCATTCATATGCTACACTTTTAATGTATCTTGTACTTACAAGCATTGTGCTAAAGGTTTGTATTCCCCTGTAGCAGCAAGAAGCCACTTCTACAAATTCAACTGGCAAATTAATTCATTTCTCTGGATAGCAAAGAGGGCATCTTTTTCAGACAAGCCCTTATCTGATAGCAGGAACCATTTCTTTCTCTAGAATAACTTCTACCATCCTTTAGTAAGCTCATAAATCATGCAGCTAGCCAGTCAAAATGCCTCTCTCCAGGGTAGGCAAATGGGAGGGGTGGCATTGAAAATCCAGGAAATCTTACTTCTGAGAGAATAAACAGTAAGAACCAGAAAAGATGGAATAAGTTACCATATAGAGAAAACATTTTCAGCCAGAACAGACTAAAAATGAAAGTGCTTTTACTTTGGCATCCAAATTCAGACATCCTATGAAACAGCCACAACAGCTCCACTTTTATTGAATGAATAAATACCCCTCATGATTAAGGAGATATAGATTGAATATTTGGCCTTCTCCACAATTTTCCTATTCCAAGTGATCTCTCTTGTTCTGCCCACTCATAGTCTAAGTGCCCTGTAGCCACCTGTCTCATCTCAAGGAGAGTAAAGGGCAATATCCTTTAAGTTACATGTGTGTATGTGTGTAGTGTACATATATGTGGGCACATTTATGTGAAAACTAAAGATGATGTCAGATGTCTTCGCTGGTTTCTCTTCTTAAATATCAAAGCAGGGTCTTTCATTTAAGCCCAGAGTTTATCAATTTGGCTAGCCTAGCTAGTCAGCTGGTTCCAAGGAACCCTTGTCTTAGTCTCCCAAGTGGTCGGATTACAGGCAGACTGCCATTTATATGGGTGTTGAGGATCCAAACTTTGGTCTTTGTGCTTGTGCAGTACTCTTTAACTCCTTCATCGACACTCTACCCTCTCCTGTAAAAATAGTTTATTCTTAAATAAAATATGAGTGAGATGGGAATGGCCCAGTAGCATGGTAGACCAAATACAATGTCCCAACAAGCAAACAGTTTTGTGAAGTTTCTTTAGCAGTTAAGGATTTTTCAAACACACTGGGGGTAAGTTCAGATTGGCAGTCTACGACAACCTAGAGACTCTGTGCTTTAGGTTTCAGAAGCTATCTAACTACATTCTCACCTTTGGGCATGATAGAAGTTAAGGGTGGAAGCTAATTTAGCCTAAGTGCAGAAATTCCAAAGTTTTTTCCTTTTCTTTGAAAGGATATTAGGCCAGACACAGAGAAGGACCATGAGTGCTGGCTATTACGGGGATGAAAGTTAGCCCAGGAGAATTTGGTTCTCAATCTGCAATATTCCAATCCTCCACAATCATGGACTTTGATTCAGTCTGTCAGCCTTGTGGAATTTTTAACAGAAGTGTCTGACATAGTTTCCTGAGAACATTGGTTCCTAGTCTCTTGCATTTATTGCCTTTTATAAACATCCCTGTGTCTTTTCACATGATACTTCAGTACTGAAGTGTTCTGGGAAACTTTGTGGACACAAAAGTAGCTGTGGCCGTAGCTTCCCTTTTCTTTCATCTGGACTGCCTAAAACTACAAACCACACTTATATTTCTGGAGCTTTCCCCATGTGCCTCAAGACAGCTCTAAGTGAGTCATCTGTCAGTTCTCCTGGGAACTTCTGAAGCACACATTACAAACATGGAAGTGAACAGCATTCAGTCATCTCCAGAGTTATGAGCTCCTAAATGGGAGGATCACTTCCAACTAAGTCTCCTACCATTTGCAGTCACTATTTGTTGCTGAGATTTAGAGCTAGAAAAACAACATCAAAGCATTGCTTTATATTATTGGAAAGAAACAGTTGAGATGACTCCTTAGGAAGTCTGTATGATTCTTTAAGGAGACACAGTGCTTGGGTTAGAAGGACATGAAGGTGATAGGGATATTGTTTGCTGGAGGTTTAAGAATCCTAGCGCCTATCAGGACAATTGTCATGGACCAGCAACTGTAGACTTCTGAGTCCCTCACATCCTTCTAATTGGCTCCTGCTGTTACAAATATTCTGATTGCCTGTGTTACAGTTGCCTGATAAAGTATCAGAATACACTTAAAATACTGTAGATGCACATGTGAAATACATCCAAATAACACATACAGTTTTAGCTGCCAGGTTTAAGGGAGATAAGTAAAAATGTAACTACCTAAAGAAAGATTCTGTCTGCATTTCAGAACTAACTCAGCTTCCATTCGCTGCATGTTATCATAGAGAGATCATTTCTCATTTGTGTCTATCTCTATGGTTATTTATTTCAAATGATTGTCCTGGCAATAATAAGCTACAAATGCTATAGTTACATGAATTTTTTTATTCTATAGGAAGAAATGTCTCTAGAAAACAAATACATTATAAGTAATACTTTCAAAATTAGTGGGGGGGAAGTTGTATCAAATTAGGTATCATCTTTCAAAGACCAAAAAAAAGGGGTGGGTAGTGAACCATGATACCATGATGTTCTCAATTTCAAATAGCACAATCTGATTGAATTATAGAAACTATAGTTTCTGTGGTTGTGGGGAAAAAACAAAACAAAATGCTGGGTGGTCCTTCACTGCAATTGCGGTTATGTGTGTGCTCATATTTCTGGTGCGTAGGCATACATATAGGTGGATCTACATCATACACATGTACATCTATGCATTTCATTTTCATATTCTTTGGTCCAGTTAGTCTACTTTCAGGATCTACCTTTTTTAAGTAATATGGGTCACTAGTTATGATAATAGAGAATTGACCCCTAAATTCTACTCATCCATAAAACTAACAACCACAAAATAATTTCATAATCTGTAGAATCAGCTTTTTCAGAGGAAACCCCATTCCAACCTACAATGTGACTGAGGCTGAGGCCTTGGGGGCCTGACTTCGGATCCTGCAGTCTATAGCTAATGTTTATGACTGTGAAGTATTCAAATCCGATCAGACATGACTCCTTAGGACCACCAAGCAGTGTCCAAGGCAGAGGCAGGGCCCTTGGGTGTAAGGAGTGTACAGAATTGTTAATGGGAACAGCATGGCAGTCCACTCTTTCCAAGCTTCCTTCTATCATGTGCTCAAAAGCAGGTTTGGTTCTTCTTGGTAGAAAAAAAATGTCTGTGTGTCTTAAGGCATTGCTGATCTTTGGAGAGAGTTAGCTAATTGTTTTCTGGTAGTAGGAGGCATATCCCAAAGTTTGAATTGGGGTTGGGGGAAGCAACAACAAAGAAGTCATTATAACAGAGTACATAGAACAGGCCACTTCCAACTGCCCAAAATATATGACACTGGTAAAACTTCAAAGGCCATTATACTAACAGTCTAGAAGGAAGATTTAAATAAAAAAGGTAATCTGAACGCAAGCTTCAGTTTCATATTCCCACTTGAATGCAAGACTCATGTATTTACAAACCCAATTCACTGTGACTAAGAGGACAGCAATATTTGGAGATCCAGGTAAATTAATAATGTTTCTGCAAGATGTGATTCAGCAGCTATTTGCAGCACAATAGTTCACAGGGAGGGAAAATAGTATATTCAAAGTAGATAAAAATTATCAATCTCTAAAACAGAACTTGAAATAATATTATACTTTCTAAGTTACAGATGCAATCAGCATCATTTTAGAAAAAGAAGGCTTGCACTCTGACAAAGTAAATCACTCATGTGACATTTCCTCAAGTGGCTGAGCAAAGGACCCACGCTTGCCACTGACTTTCTAGGGTTAGCCACGGTGGACAGTGGTAGCGGTGGCTCTGCCAACCAGCACAGCTGCGAAAATTAGAAGCCAAGGTACACAGTCCTTTCATTTTTGTAAAAGTACACTCTACTTGGTTGGAAACTATTCCAGGTTCTTAGGATTAAATATGTGAATATTGCTTCTGAACGAGCAGCTGTCACTTTAAATCTAAAGTCTAGTTTGTTTACTGGCTGTATTTAAATCCTTTAGAAAATGACACAAAATGGCAATAAAATCATTGTAAGTATTCTACAGGGGAATATAAATGCCCCTTGGTTACACTGTACATATCTTTATCCATAATTCTAGTTTATTTTCCTCGTGATTATGTTAAATATGTAAAAAGCCTTTTCTCATAAAGGTAAAACTGCTAGATGTTTCCATGTTGTAATTCAGCATTAGTGTC